AAGTCTTTATGAGAAAAAAGAGATGAATTTTTTAATACCTACAAATAATTTAAAATAGAGAAAATTTAAACATTAGTCGATCATTAAATAATCATTTAAAATAATTAATTTTATTTTAAAATGTGTTATCTTTTTACATGAGTCCCTAATGTTGTCAGTATGGTGAGCATGTGTTTCATTACATGATAATCACACTCATGATTACCCAATTGATGTAGGCACTATAATTTAGTGAATATAAAATATAAATCATAATTAGAATATATTTTAATTCAACTATAATTATTATTGTTAGGTTGCCAGACGACTTACTCTCAGGACAATATAGTGAAGCTTTTTTTTTCCAGCTATTAAAGGAAGTCTCTACAAGATCAAGCTTGCACCCAAAGACCTACGAAGATGAATGATAAATTGAAAATAGTTAAAAAAATGAAATTTTTATTTGTTTCATGAAAATTTATAATAGAAAAAGAACCCACAGAGATTGAAAGTAGATACTTACAAGTCAATGAGGTGTCTAATAGACAACTCAGTAGTTTTCTTGTGTAATGAACACAATAAAACTACCTCAGAATTATAATGAGGAGCTTCCAATGTTTACTGCATTTTGTAATAGTTTTAAAACTTGTTAAGTTACTATGAACTTTAAATAAAATACAAGTACTTACATATTCAAATAAGGTTCTAAGTACACCCTCTAAACCTGAACTGATCTATCAAATATTATTTTATGTTAGTATTTTTATTTCCAACACCCTAGATAAAAATTGAGTCTATGAAACCATAATAAAAAGTAGTTTGCATTTTCACAAAGACGCGATGAAGAGGCCTATAATTGTGAAAACAAAAATAATTTTAGGAGTTTGTAATTGAATACATTAAAATAAAAACAATTACAAATGATATTCACTTAATCCATAACTATATCACAAATATGGAAAGGAGGCCATTACTAAAAATGATGTCCATGGCATCACATTGCCATATAAAAAAAAGGGATAGGCACGCCCTTGCCAAAGACCTCAAGAGGCATGGTAGTCTCTACGTCACACTCCTCAAGATCAATTGCTGCCGAAGTTAATCAATGGATGAGAAAGCTCAAAAAGTGATGCAGATGTAGCAACAATTGCCTTTTTTTTCTAGAATCAACCTAAGTATCATATAAACTAGTCTTTTCTTTTTTAGATAAAGTAAGACATGTTAGGGGTAAAATTGTTCATTTGCCATGAACCTATGAAACTAACATTTCTCTTATACCCATGTCAACCAAATCTAAACAAGCATTTACACTATTCTTTGTCTTTCCTTGAATGTTAAGAAGCATTCTAATAACACTATCATACACATTTTTCTTTACATGCATGACATCTATATAATGTCTCACATCAAGGATCTTTTAATATGGTAGATAAAAAAAAATATTCTTTTCTTTCATATGGTTTCCCCAATTGGTTATTTTTCATTTTTCCTAAATACCACACTTATGTTCTTCACTCGTCCATAAACTTGGTTACCAGTTAAGGGCACCGGAGCTACTTCATTTTTCTAAAGATATCATTAAATGTTTTCTTCAATCTATGTCAAGGATGATTATGAGTAAGAAATCTTCAATGCCTAAGGTAAATATGTTTTCCTTCCATGATGCAATTGATGATGACATGTGTCATTTTCACATATGGGTCAAGCTTTATGCCCCTTAACATGGTAGCCGTTTAAGTTGTCGTATACTGAAGAGTTATTGATTGTGCAAAATAACATGACATGCATTTTAAAAGTTTTCCAAAAAATCTGTCAAACACACCAACTTATTCATCCCATAACATCGTCGAGTCCTCAACTAACACTAGTACAAAATAAAATTCACGTCACTATATTCTCGTCGGACAAAGAAAAATCCAACGTTAAAAAAACACGGTGGCATTTTTGAAATTATAATCAAATTTTTTACGTCGGACCTCATAGGGGCCGACGTAAATTTGAAAATTACGTCGGATATAGCTTGTGTCCAACATGGATTTTCCAATTTATGTCGGCCCTTATATGAGGTCCGACGTAAAATATCTACAAATTTCAGATTTCTTAGCGCGCGTCAATATTTAAACAACAGAGCTTTGAGTATATGTGCAAAACGAGTCTTCTTTCGTTTGAGTGTATTGCATCTGAATATACGTTTGGACGTTTGGGTGGTTCTTGAGTTTTTGACCGATTGCATTGGGCTCGCGTTTGAGGTTAGTTTGGGAAATCTTTTCTTAATATATTAGCTAATTTGTTGAAAATAAATGTATGTATTGATCTATTAATATATTAGTTAATATTATCCTCTTCTTCGCGTTTGAGTGGATCATCATTTGTTAATATATTAGTTAATATCAGGTGGAACGACCCGTTCTCCAAGCAAAACGGCCCATTCTCCAAGCAGAATAGCCCGTTCTTCAAGTAGAATGGTTCGTTCTACTTGCACTCGTTATGTTTTTTTTTTTTACAACTTTTTTACGTCGAGTCTTGGCAATGTCCGATGTAAATTTACATTGACTATCACAACTGACGTAAATTTACGTCTCCCGCATTTACGTCAGATTTTTTTCTGACATAAAAAGCTTAAAATGTCCGATATAAATTACCATTTTTGTACTAGTGTAAGGGGTTTAGATAAACATCAATATCGTTCCTAGTTGTCTTATACTTGAAATTATCTTAGATAACATCACATATTTACGCTTCATGCACAACCACAAAGGTAGGTTGTAAATCACTACCAAGACAAGTCATGAACTATGTTTACTACTTAGTTTACCATATGGATTCATTCCATCTGTAGTAAGTCCAAGCCTAAGGTTTCTTGGATTATTTTCGAAATCTGAAAAATGGAATCTATTTGTTTTCATTGCAAAGAATCAACCAAATGCTTTAGTTGTTTATCTTTCTTTCGTCCAACTACGTGTCGCCTAATTTTTTGGCATCATGGATGTTAGCGAATAATCACTTCAATATTAGAACAATAGAAAGATACCACAACATGTTTGTGGGAGGATTGATGAGGATTTTCGCAAACACCACTTGGCAAGTGAACCAAGTTTCGAAGTAGTATTCAAATATCGTCCTCAGGGATTTGAGTGTTTAGTAATTCTTGCTCTAATGATTTAAATGAAAATGTTGTTATGATTGCAACTGAGTGAAGATAGGGTAGAACCACACAATAAACTAAAAGTAGTAAAGACAATAATTAAGAAACAAGGATTGGTTCAGAAGCACTTGCTAACTCATAGATCTTTTTAAAATACATGCAATTCTAATTCCATTATTTCCACGTTCAGAATAGCATCTTGAAATTGCTCCGGTGTAGGCCAAGGATATAAGCTTACAAGTACAGCAACAACCAAAAAAAAAATTAATCCTAAAACAAAATCAGCCATGTGTTCCAAGGAAAAATCTTACAAGTACAGCAACAATCAACCCACCATTCAGTCATAGCAAGAATTAACACTCCACTACAATGATTTTACACATGAAGCAAGGAATGCATATTCACTCAAACAAATGATCAAGCACTTAGTAGATAGGATAAAGAGAAACAACATGCAAGTGCATTCTTGACATTCAAGGTTCAAATTTAGTCACAATAAAGGAACATTTCAATGATCAGTTTTTCTCACATGCTCATTATAGGCAAATTAGATATTGCTCTCATTCAGGCATTTTGTCAAACACAAAGCAAGCATAAAATGAGAATGATCATGCATGTGCAATATTGAAGGATCAAACACCCAAATTCATGCATTCCATGCCAGAAATGACACACATCACAAATAATTCCATCATCATGTTTTAAAGAACCCAAAGAGTAACAAAATCATGCTTAGAGTTCAAAAGAGTAGAAAAGAGCAAGCAAATGTTTCATGCAATGTGGACGGAAGGAAGAAAGATGAAGACTTTACCTTGAAATCCTAGCAAAAAGATGGGTGCTTTGGTGTTTATGAGTGTGATAATGGAAGAAAAATGGAACCTTGATAGATAAAAATGAGAACTTTATAGAGAGCATCAGTTTTAAAACTGACCAAAATTGTTCTTCAATTTTTCTTTTAAAATTTTGAAATCCACCGCTTGAGCTGTAGAATCACCGCTGCAGCGATGGGTGCTTTTAAAGTTAAAAGGTGAGCTCCAGAAAGTTGGCGCTAAGGCCGTGAATATAGCACTGCAGCGCTGGTGAATTTTATATATCAAAGCTTTGGCAGCAAGATAGCGCCTTAGCTGTGGAAGCTAGCGCTGGGGCGGTGGAAATTTTGCTCACATAAAAGGCTTAAACAGAAAGTTGGCGCCATAGCTGTAAGCCTAGCGCTGGAGCGGTGGGACTTAGCTTCTCTCTTTAAAGTAGAAAAATACATACTGATAGCTCACTTTTTCTTGACAACTTAAAATAGCACTATGCACATTAAACACTAGGCACTAAACTATACACCCAAAACCATCAAGCATGATAAACTCCAAACAACAACACCTTTTGAAATCAAAATGAAACTCAAAACTCAAAATACTGCACAATCAACTTATAAAGCATCAAAATACTTCCTAAATACTAACACAATAAGCACGAACAAGACTTTCAACCTGCATTATCAAACATTCAAAACACTAAGTGACATGCATTATGAAATCAAACATATATATAAACAAAAACTCTTAACTAAACACTACTTAACACATTCCAAACAACAAACATCAAAGATGATGAAAGCTAGCATATCAATGAACAAAAACTCTTAACTAACACTATTCAACACAAAACTCTTAATTTAAACCAAAAATTAAATAAGAACATGCTAATTTAGTGTCTTTAGCTTGACAGTTCTTGTATGGTCATGGCTCCTTCAATTGAGTGATGGTAGTGAGTCTTTCAACTTCACCACCCAGATAATGCTTGAGCCTTTGACCATTGACTAACCAAGTCCTTCTAGAGGTAGGATCTTTCAGCTCAATATCTCCATGTGATTTGACAGATTTAATTACAAATGGCTTGACCACTTAGTTTTGAGTTTGCTCGGAAATAACTTCAATCTAGAGTTGAATAGTAACACTGATTGGCCGGGTTTGAAGCTCATTTTTAAAATCTTCTTATCATGATATGCTTTGATTCTCTGCTTGCAGTGCTTAGAAGACTCATAATCATTAAACCTCATTTCTTCAAGTTCAAGAAGCCGTAACTTCTTGTGTTTTCCAGCTACATTATCATCCAATTCCAGCTTCACTACTTGCTCTTTTTCCTCCTTCTTCAATGCTTCTTTTGACTGAACATTGGCAGAAGAGTTTTCTCTTTTATTTAGTGCATCAATAACATCTTGAACGTCTTCATCTATGACCTTATCCAATTCTTCATTAGAAAGAAGCAAATCCTTCTCTAGTGGCGATGAGCTCTTGAAATCATTTTGAGTTTCAAGGTACACATCATCTAATACATCAATTCTAAAGCAATCTTTGTTGCCTTTTGGAAACTTCGTTGTTTTAAATACATTGAAACTCACTTCCTCATCTTGGACCCTCACCTTCAGCTTTCCTTCATCTATGTCAATGATAACTCGAGCTGTCTTCATAAAGGGTCTGCCCAATATCAAAGGAACCTCTAAATCTTCTTCCATATCCATTACTACAAAATCAACTGGGAACATGAACTTGTCAACCTTCACTATCATATCTTCCACTATGCCATGTGGAAGCTTAATGGATCTGTCTGCCAACTGTAAGGTCATTCTTGTAGGTCTCACTTCCACTTCTCCTATCTTCTTCAACATGGATAAAGGCATCAGGTTAATACTGGCTCCAAGGTCTAATAGTGCCTTACCCACTGATAGATTATCAATTGATACAGGGAGAGTGAAACTGCCTGGATCTTTGGATTTCTGAGGTAAAGACTTCTGTATAATGGCACTGCATCCTGCCTCAAGCTCCACGGTCTCTTCTTCGAGAATTCTTCTCTTCTTAGTTAACAATTCCTTCATGAACCTAGCATACGTGGGCATTTTCTCCATGGCTTCAGTGAAAGGAATATTAATCTGGAGCTTCTTGATGATATCCAGAAATCTCAAGAACTGCCTTTCTTTTTCTTTCTTGGTAGGAGCATGAGGGTAAGGTAAGTTTTTTACTGGAACAGTAGAGTTGACTTCCTTGCCCTTCTTTTTATTTTTCTCCTTTTCAACTCCATTTTTCTCTCTTATTTTCTCACTATCTACACTCTCACTCTTATTGTTTTCTCCCTCATTCTTCTCACTTTCTTCTTCAACCTCCTTCAATTCACTATTTTCTCCCTTATTCTCAGCACCCTCATTGTTCTCACTCACTCCAACATCTGCACCAACTACCTTCCCACTTCTTGTTGTTATGGCTTGGCAATACTCCTTGGGGTTGGTCTTGGTGTTGGCTGAAAATGGGCCTTTAGACATGTCAGCTAATTGCTTAGCTAGCTGACCCACCTGTACTTCTAAATTCTTGATGGAAGCTTCAGTGTTTTTCTGGTTGTTCATAGATACCTGCATGAACTGGTTTAGAGTCTCCTCCAATTTACTAGTTCTTTCATGCATAGAGGGATACACATGTTGTTGTTGTTGTGATTGTTGTGGTGGCCTATTGGGTGGTCCAACTTCATTCCTCCATCCATATCCTTGGTTAATTGTTGTTTCTCCAACCTTGATTCCCTTACATATAATTGTTAGTATTATAATTATGGGAATTAAAATTACCTCCTTTCTGTTGGTTGCCCACATAGTTGACTTCTTCTTCATTTGAAGTTTCAGAATAGTGACCATTGGGATGATCTCCCCTGCAAAAATCACATTTTAGAGAAGAATTTGATTGAGTTGAAGAAGAAGCAATAGCATGAAGCTGTTGTGGAATCTTGGCCATCTGCTTAGTTAGTGCTTCAATCTGTTGAGATAGCTTCTTGTTCTGTGCAAGGATTGCATCATTAGTACTGAGATCAATAACCCCTTTTTTATGAGATTGGTGTCTCCCATGCTCTGCTTGGTGATCAGAAGATGCCAAAGATTCTATAATTTGAGTAGCTTCTTTTGGGCTTACAGTCATCATGGTGCCACCAACTGCTGCATCTAATAACATCTTCACCTCAGGCTTGATTCCATTAACAAAGAAATTGAGTTGAGCTATATCCTCAAACCCGTGGTTAGGACATTTTCTGAGCAATGACTTAAATCTTTCCCAGGCTTCACAAAATGGTTCATCTGCACCTTGCCTGAAAGTAGTGATTTCTGATTTGGCCTTAATATACTTGGATGAAGGATAAAATCTATTCACAAACTTGTTTTCCACATCACCCCAGCTTGTCAAACTTTGATTTGGGTGAGATTGTAACCAAACTTTAGCTTTTCCTATTAGAGAAAATGGAAACAACCTCAAGTATACAGCTTCCTCATCACCTTCAGGAATTCCCATTGTTCCACATAACTCATAGAAATTTGAAAGGTGTGAGTATGGGTCCTCATGATCAAGGCCAGCAAATTGTTGTGAGCTAACCAAAGTAAGGAAAGCATGCTTCATCTCCATGGCTCTAGAAGTATTTGGAGCTGCAATACTGGAGAAATGCCTAGGACCATGTTGTTGTGCGTAATCACCTAGGGTTCTTCTAGGAGGCCTAGCTGGTCCATGTCCACCATTATGAGTGCCTGTTCCTTGTTCAGCCATTTCTGTTTCGAGGTGTGGTTGATTTGATGAAGTAGAAGAACTCAGAAGATCTTGCTGTTGTTTTTGGAGTCTCTCTAACCGTCTAAGCCTTCTTGTTCTACTGTTGTTCCTCCTTGCCGTTCTTTCAATTTCAGGGTCAAAATGCAATTCTTCGGCTGGAGTTTTCCCTCGCATACACTTTTAAGAAGTCTGCACAGCAAGGTGAGTCCACAAAACACAACAAGACAAATATCTATATATTATAAGTATTCACAAATAATTTATTTACAAAATTACAAAATCACAAGATTCAGAATTACTAAATAGCACCAAATCCCCGGCAACGGCGCCAGAAACTTGATGAGGATTTTCGCAAACACCACTTGGCAAGTGAACCAAGTTTCGAAGTAGTATTCAAATATCGTCCTCAGGGATTTGAGTGTTTAGTAATTCTTGCTCTAATGATTTAAATGAGAATGTTGTTATGATTGCAACTGAGTGAAGATAGGGTAAAACCACACAATAAACTAAAAGTAGTAAAGACAATAGTTAAGAAACAAGGATTGGTTCAGAAGCACTTGCTAACTCGTAGATCTTCTTAAAATAAATGCGATTCTAATTCCATTATTTCCACGTTCATTAAGTAATCCAACAAGATTCCTCAAGGTTGAATCCTAAAGTCATTAAGCTCAAAACATGATTCCTCTATGTTTTGAGTTTAACACTTCGCATTAAGAACAATAACTTGAACAACGTGACTAACCAAATCAAGTCTATTCCTAGAACAAGAAATGATTAGGTGCAAGATTCAGTTCGGGTTTTCAAAAACGTTTTCCAACTGGATCCAAAAACCAAAAATCATATAACGGATGATCAAGCCGATATAAGCATTAAAAGAAGAATAATGCACAAATAATGAGATCAAAAGGCTTATATTAAAGAAGAAGAAGACTTAGTAGTTACACCCAACCAACCCTCAATGAGTTTAGCCACACATGGCCATTACAAGATCTAAGAAGTAAAAGAAAAGATTACAAAGTAGAAGATGAGAACAAGGGGTTGGGCTTTGTTCCCAAATGACCCAGCTGCCCAAGTCTTCGTTCTTGTTCTGTTTCTCCCTTCACGTGCTTCTCAATATGTTTTTCTCTCTGTTTTTCGTGATTCCCTCTTTTTCTCCGTTTTCCCCTTTTATATTGGCTTCAAAACAGGGGAGAAGTTGCACACTTTAAGCACACAGCTGTAGCTGTGGAACCAGCGTTATAGCTGTGGAGACTCCTTCATGGTTAAGTAATTTCTGACGCTCTAGCTATGGAACCACAGCTATGGCTGTGAGTTTCTGTAACTTTTCTTGATCTCCAATGCCTCACAGCTCTAGCTATGGCTGTAACTCTCTGGAGTCCCAATTTTGCACTGCAGGTTTCCACAGTTATGGTTGGAGAACCACAACCATGGTTGCAAATTTCTGAATTCTAGAATTTCCTTCTAGATTTCCACAGCTATAGCTGCAGAACCAGAGCTATGGGTACAAAATTCTTTTCCTCAATTTTTACTGCACTTAAGAGATAAAATCAACATTAACTCTTCTACTACTCTTCTATCTTCTAATATAACTTTTAAAGAGTAAATTAGCATAAATATATTTACAATTCATCCAAAAAGAGTGCCAAAAGTTGGTGAATATATGAATAAAAGACACTCAACAAGGATCCTTGCTCACCCCACTTTCAGAGTCACCTTCCTTTAGTTTGTATCATGATACTCTACACTGTGGACACATGTAAGTTATCAAACTCTTTTATACACAAAATGCAAGGATTGTTTGAGTCATGAAATCAACTAAACTAAATAAGCACCCAAACCTCAAACCTCACACCAAACTAGCAAACTAAATCAACATCTAAGTACTAAAATATGCACTCAAACCACAACATCCAAACCAACCCCAAAATAAGAAAATAAACCAACAACATCACCAATGGTACCGACAACATCAAACAACACCAACCATACATGAAATGCACGAAAAAGAAAAAGAAAAAGAGAATGACAAACTTGGGAGTGTGAGAACAAATGAACAATCATGAAAATGATAACGAAATGGGGAAGTACGAGAACGAACAGAAGGTTTGGTCAAAAATTGCCTCAACGATCATCAGTGTCACCGAAAATCGACTCAATAGTGTACCAAAACTTGACACCTAAATCGCCTCTATTTCCTAAACGAAGAAGATGAAATAATGGAGTGTTAACTTGGTTTATGCTCTCACTGTACGTAATAACAAGACATTTTATGGTGGGTGACGATCTATCTATCATAGAATGTTTCTTTATATGACAGGTATATATGTAAACACCCGTCATAATCAAAGGCTGGCCAACAACATTTTATGATGGATGTTGACTTACCTATCATAGAAAGAATATTTTAAGATGGATAAGTCTACATTTGTCATATAATGTTTTGACATATTTACAAGTATGTCACCACACTACTTTCTATGTCGTGTAAATAATACCCGACATAGAAAGTATGTCATGAAATCTCATTTTTGCACTAATGAGTCCTACAAACTTCATGCTTGAAAATGTTTAGTATTCAATGTAAAGGGATATGTTGAAAATTTCATATCAACTAAGAATATGGTCATATTAATGTACATAAGTGGGGAGTAGTCATCACCTTACAAACCGATTTTGTAGGATTAAATTATGTCAAAAACTTACTATTCTAAGACCCTGAAATTAAAAATTGTCAAACAAGTCTCTAGAATGTCAAATAAGTTTTTAAATTTAACCACTTATTATTATTTTAGTCTCTAAATATATATATAAATATTATCATTCTAATCGCATACTTTTTTAAGTTCTAGACTACTATAATTATAAATTTGTACTTTCAAAAATGTCTTATATATTTTTTTATAGACCTGTACGATATCGTTTTCTAAATTTAATGACCGAATTAAATGTTTACTCATCGAAATTTCAAAAACAACGTAGCAATGAAATGGAGGAAATTAATAATGTAGGAAGGAAGGGAATAGTGATGCTAGAATATATAAAAGCAGGTAGCATAGCATAACATATCTTGAAGGAAAATATTGAATCATCATGTGTAAAGAGTAAGAAGAATAAAGAGAGATAGAAAGTTATTGCAATTGTCCTCTAAGTGCTCCTTAATGAGCGGTTGACGTTGTTGTGTTGGAGGCCATGTGAGTTTGCGAGTGTTTATATGTAATCCTCGGTTGGACGATTCATGCCTGTGGCTGTGGGTCCAACGCTTTTTCATAACTTTTTTCTAAGATTCTATCAAATTCATTAGCTGTCTTGCATTGCATTGCATGTCATGCACTGGATAAAGTTCAGACCAATGCTTTGTGGTAAATGCAAAATAATTAATTTGAGTTCTTGGCCAATCACGTCGTAAATTATGGAACATGAGAAGAGTCAAATCCTATCCTTTTCTTTCTCTATCCGTATAAAATTAATTATATCGTCTATTATTTCACAAGAAAATTTTTAATTATAATATTCATGTGAAGTATTTACAATAAAAATAATTATTAATATTTATTCATAGTTGAATAGTAACTAGTATAATCATGTGTGTTGCACGGATATAAAAAAAGGAACAGATTATATAAATATGCCGTATTTTTTTTGTTTAGAATTTACTACTTTTTTTTTACTGCTGCTGCATAAATTTATTATTTATAAATATAATCTTGATTGATTAAAATTTTATATTTCTAATTTATAAAAAAAATTGTAAAATTTAAAGACATAAAATATTGATAGTAAAAACAAGAAGAATTAAAAATATTTGATAAACTTAGACGACATAACTAGTAGGCCATGTATGTTATAAAATAAATATTTATTATATGTAATTAAAATTTATAATTAATTATATATAAATAAATATTATATTTAAATTTATAAATTATATTATATTATATTCAAATTTTGTATAAATAAATATTTTTAAACATATAAAATGAATTTTGAATTTGTAATAAATAATTTATATTGTGACATAAGATTATTTGTAAATTTTAAAAATATTTTTTTAAATGATTGATAATCAATTTTAAAATATTAAAATTTAATTTAAAATAAATATCATAAATACTAATTAAAATAGATGAGAAGTTAAAAAATCCTTACAAATCTTCTCATCCCTCTTATATATTGAGTAAAAATTTTATCCTTCTTTGAGAGATGAAAATATTATATTACTCTCATGTTAAAATACAATTAAGTTCATTTAACTTAATATCATTAACATAAATTATAGTTTCATCTCCTCCTTATGAGATGCAAGTATTGCATTGTTCCCCCTTTATAAGTAAAAGTATAAAATAAATTTCACTTTCATCTATTAGATATATGAGAATTAAACTATCACTCTCTTATTATATTAAAAAATATATTGGGAGCATTTAACTTAATATCATCAAAGAATATCGATTATAAAATTTTAAAATATATGTTCAACTGTTTTAGTCCATTGTCTTTCCTTCACGTGATAAATTTTTTTAAAATATATAATTAAATTTAAAACAACTTATTAAAATAAAAATTATCAAATAAATTATATATATATATATATATATATATATCAATTTATATATAGAGAGAGAGAGAAAGAGGAGGGTTCCACTTACTCAAAAAATAAGTCTAGCCTAGATTTATTTCACTCAATTATTCATCTTTAACATCAAATTTCAAGATTCAAGCATTAAACTAAAAAAATTTTAATGTATAGATCAAGTCTACAAATTTTTAAAAAGTTTAAAAACTATTTGATATCTTGTTTCATTAGTTTAAATTGACGGATAATCATAAAAATATTTTATATGTTGATTTCAATTAATGAATAATGAAGTATAAAATAATTTTTAAATTTTCAAAAATTTATTAACTTAATTTATACATTAAGAACTTTTAATTCAACGGTTGGATCATTGAAATTTGATGTAGAACATGAGTTATTGAGTGGAGTAAGTCTAGGTAAATTTATTCTTAAAGTAAGTAGATCCCTTCTTATATATATATATATATAATATATTGTAACATCCCTTCAAAAAATAAAATAAAATAGTGCTTAATAAAATAATCACACTTTTTGGCTTGATTAATTTAACTAATTGGGTTAGTAATATAATCAAAATATTTTTATTGAATAAAATAAA